TTTATATGAACTAATTTTTTTAAATTTTAATTTAATGAATTTTTCTAATTTTTTTTTAAAAACAGCCACCATTTTGGTTGTCACGACCTGTGACCTTTCACGGCTCATGGCAACCGTGTGAATATCATGGGGCGGATAGTCCAAATGTACCCAAAGTTTATATAACTTTTCAGAATTAATGCTGTATTAATAAGTAATTAATATGGCTTTTCTTTATACCAAGACTAAAGCGTCCATTATACCGGTATATATACACAATATAATCTATTTAAGGTAACTCATCCCCTTATCACTAAAATACTGTAAATAGAATACTTATTTTGAACTTTCACTTTCAACTTTGCCACATGACTAATTAATTAAAGCTTTCCCTGACCAATTGTTTAGTAGTTTTTGCACACAGTAAACTCTTATGAATGAAACTCTGAGACAGTACTACAGTATAGCCATTTAGCAAGTGGCGATGAATGGTTGCCCAACACAACGTTTTGCGGACAGCTAATTATGCTCATTTATTATTATATGGGCTCCACCAGGTTTTTAAACCTCAAATAAAAATATTCTAGTTTATATTACTTCTAAGTTTATTCTAAAAAATAAGTTATCAAATATTTTGATGTAAATAGTGCCACTGCTTTTCGTCATAACTGAATATTTCATAAGAATCTGCATCTTCCACCATTAAAACATGACATGGTCAAAATTAGGCCCAGCGACCTTATGGTAATACAGGTTACTAGGACAAGCTTAACGAACGTTGGACACCACCTAAATCAATGAGAATTGGCACACAAATACATCAATATATAATGCTCATCAGAATGTAATGTTGAAAGTTCAAGACATGATCTTTAAATTTATTTTAAAATTTTGAAGGATAAGACACCTTATCATAGCCGCCTTATCTATATACCTATGAATTTTGAAAATTGATGTCAATCAAAAAAGGGAAAACAGTATATTAGAATTTAGGTCAAAGTCGAGATGTTCCCTATGTGAACATGTGGAAGAATGCGGTTTAAATACAATTCGATGACAAAATAGTCCTTTCATTAATGATTAATGCAAAAGCGATACAAAATTTAAATATTGTCCAATTGCCATGAATGATACATCATTTTAAAGGGCTAGCTATAAGCTTTACAACAACAACAATTTCATCTTTCTATCTTTTATGGAAGTGGAGTTATGATTTTTATGGTGATTTTTAAACATCCCCTTCTTTATCTTAGTATTTAACTGAAAAAACGTGTGACCCACTTTCAAAATTTCTGCCTTATTTTACCCAAAACTTTTTGATTTTAAAAGATAATGCTACCAAATGTTCAGGAGACATTCTCAATGAAATATATACAGTACAATAAACAACAAAACTTTTATATAACATTAAGACTTTTATTTTTGTCAGGCGCGCCGGACGTATATCTCCCGCACTATTTGTCCGGCGACCAAGTCACATGACCGCCGTAACAAAGTGGCGAGAGATATCTTGTCGGTCAGCCTTGTCACGTGACTGCAAATGATTCAAAACTATTGTTAATTTTAAAATCTATTTCTCTACCAAGTAATGTACTGAGTATCTTGAATGCAAATAATAGAAAAAAAACTTAAGTGAAAGTGGCTTGTAAACATTTTTGTTTAGTTTGTTATTTGAGTTTGTGCACCAGTAATCCATAAAATAAATTAGGGGCCAGTGTGGAGTAGGCAACCATTAAAAGTAAAAGATTTCATTTTAAATTGTTACAAAATATTTAAAAACTTCTCATGAAACTACTGTTGCTGATGAACATGATAATATAAATATAGTATAAAATATTTTACATTAAAATGGGAGTAAATAAAAACGATCCTATCCCCGGTATTGATCCTCACATCATAATATCGTCAAGCGACCCTCCACCACTAGACCAGACAAGATCTACCAAACTGTATTTCATTCGAAATTATAAAAATACTAGCCGTCCGGCGGTCACTTGACATACCGCTGGACATATATCTTGCGCACTATTTGTCCGGCGCGCCGGGCGTGTAGAGACTTCGTTTATGTTTTTATAAATTTATTTGTGGGTATGTTCAGAAAAAAAGTGAACAGAAAAATTGGGAAAATCATTATTTATACAGGAAAAAAGGAAAGAAAACCCCCACCATATTTATTATTATTTATTGAATTTTAACTAATTTTATTATGCTTGTGTTAATTTTAAATCAATTATTACATTTATAAAATTGTAAGTAGTCTTTTTTATTTATAAAATTGAAAGCATGTAATTATAGATAAAAATTACTTAAATAAAATCATCCATGATGATAATATGATAATGATGAGACTAATTCATTAAAAAAAAATATTTTATTTATAAAATAATTGTCTACGTACTTCTTTTCTATGTCCTTATAAAAATATAATTGCTATGATGATGTTGTTTGAGTCTTGTTTATTAATTTGATGTATTTTAATAAAACTGTTATATATAAAACTTATAGGCTTGTAATAAAATTAGTAAGAAAAATTAAGCTTAGGGCTAAATAGACAATTATAGGATTATAACAACAGTTGTTTATAATTATAATTGATAATGATTCAATGATAAGTAGGCCTAATTTTAGTAATATTCTCTGAAATAATTAATAGAGAAAAACTATTATTATTATCGATATTACTATTGTAAAACTATTAAATATTGATTCAATAATGAAAAAACGATAAACTGTGTACGGGTACCGTACACAATTTTTAACGTAATAAATAAAACTTAAAACCAACCCTTGGTTACTACATAAACTTTTCAAGTTTGGTTATAATCTTTTCTTAAAATGATTCATTTTAAACGTCTTATAATTATTTAGATGTTTAAGGTTTTAACATTTCCGGCTTCTCGATCAAAATAAAAAATAATGATAATTTCATACCCTCCACTTCTTCGCGGGTTGCATAACTTTTTATCGAGAGCTAACGATAATAACTCAAAAAATTAAAAAACTCTTACAATGAATGTAGATCAGGGAGCACTAAACCTTATTTTGGTGGCTTTACTAGTAAAAAAGTATTTATGCGATTTATATACTAACCGAGTCATTATAATAATACTGCCTGTGATGCAAAAAAAATATCGTAGCATAAATCAATATATGACCGGAACACAAAAACTGATAAGTCAGTGATGAGGAAAGCAATAATTAATAAACTAAGGTGACGTAGTCTGCAATTTTCCAATGATACCGTGCAGCTGTACGCCATATTGCAGAACACGTTTTTTCGACATTCTAGGACATGCGCAGAACGGTGCGTGGACAAGTATTGTTATCCCTTTATTAACTCCAACTTAAACTAGCCTAATGCAACTTCTATTAGTATTAGTAGTATTAGACCTGGGCTCTAACTGTAAGCTAAAATCAACAAGTGTAATTGAATTGTTCTGTGCCACTGAGTTTCTCAGTAAAAACTTTAAAAATTATTATTCTTATCATTTGACATTATCAGCAGCTGCATGATATTCTAGTTCTAATCATTAAATTAAAGTAAGGAATTAATTTATGTCATTTATGACAAAGAAAATAAAATTAGTTGAATGATGTGATCATTTATTAAAAATGAAAACATTAAATTAGATACCATCAATCAAAATTGAAACATCCAAAAACTGCAGTAAATGAAATTGTAATAATTAAAAACTATGAAAATTGTATTTAAATTGAAATAAATTATGTTTAAAAAAGCTGATTTTGGGTTAGCGGTAAGGCTAGTGATATATGGGTCACACAGGTTCCCCCAGGTCAACCTCTGTCTATAGCACCATATTCAAAAGATTTTGATTTTTATGTTTATGTTCACCCAATGCAAGTTTTTGTTTTCTTATTTTCCAATTTGTAAAGTAGGGAAGAGGTCTCCCCGGAAGATTACTTTTTGGTATTTCAAGTGGGGGGAGGTTATAGTCCCCAGAAGAAGAACATTTTGTTATTATTTTGTTTAGGCCATTGAAAGTGGGACGAAAATTATGGTGAAATATCCTGTGAGATGATCTAAATCATTAGGTACCTCAAGTACCTGAGTATACAAAAATATTTTGAACTTATGTCTTTTGCACATGAAATATTAATTAATTAAAGCTTTTCCTGGTCAATGTTTTGATAGTGTTTGTACAGTGCAAACTTATGAATAAAACTCATGTCTTAAATGCCTTCTAAATTCATTCTGAAACACAAGTTATCAAATATTTCCTAAGCTATTGCGCCCACGCCCATTCCCAATACAAATTAAGAAGTAGTCTCCCTTTTGTTAATGAAGTTTTAAGATACAGGTTCTTCAGTTTTCAACTAATCAAACGACAGCACTTTTAGTTCTTGTCTTTTTTTTTCTTTTTTTTTTTACTGCAGTTGGGTCTTGGGGTATCAGAAAGGATATGTTTCTTTTTTCATTTCTTTTGAAACTTGATAAGTTGAATTTTAATTTTTTTAAAATTAACAGATAATTTCATTTTAATCCATTAATTGTCAGATTTAGTTTATGATGCAAAATGCTCAATGAAAAAAGGAAAGTTATTACACACATCGTTCAGGTCCAACAATTGGTCTATTCACTCTTGGGATTCCCCAAAGTGACGTCACTGTGCTTAGGGTGAGACAACTCTTGACAAAACCCATACTGTTAATCCAAAATGTATCTGATGTTAAATTACGATAATTTAATGTAATTGTTGGTTATTTTAATTATTTTTTTATGGGAGTGGTGTTTGCTAGCTGATTGTGACTCCCATAAAAAAATAATTTAATGTAATTGTTGGTTATTTTAATTATTTTTTTATGGGGACCAAAAACACCCACAAAACCCCCCCCCCCCCCCCCCCCCCCAAATTCATGACATCATTTAAGGATTGCCCTTAAGGCAAGCTTCTAAAACAGTGGAGACAAATCATTATGTGACATTGTCATGATATTAGCATTAGTTAAAAGTTTAATCAACTCACTTCTTTACCTCTTCATCTTTTCTACTTTATTCTTGCAGTGACTGCTTAGGGGTTGCTGTTCAGCATTTTTGTGTTTTTGTAGTATTGAAAGTTCAAGATGACATCATTAGCTGAACAGCCATGTTATACTCTCATCAATGTTCCCATGGATGCAGAGCCACCCTCAGAAATGCAGTTGAAGCAAGACCTAGGTAATAATACAGTTTTAGTGGGGTTTTTAATATTGTGTATATTACTGAAATTTTTTCCCTTCTGATTACATAAAAAATTTTTGAACCTTGGATCCCGCTTTATCTGTGTGAGCATTAAAAATTCATACCCCGCCAAATCGATATTTCAATCTGTCATACCTTACCCTCGATTAACAGTCCATATATGAAAATGTGTTGTAAATACAGAATTCAGGGCTTGCCACGTGACGTGTGAAAGTTCACAGTAATGGCTGTGCCCATTTATGCATTGTTTTTATGATGTATAGTGGTGACCAAGTTAAAAAATTGCTAATCTAAAGGACTAAAAATGGGGGAGGTTGATGATCATGCAAATGGTTTAAAAAAGTGATTCTCAACCTTCCTAAAGTCGCGACCCTTTAATACAGTTCCTCAAGTTGTGGTGACCCCCAACCACAAAATTATTTTCGCTGCTACTTGATGACTAGAGTATATGTGTTTTTGGATGGACTTAGGCGACCCCTGGTTGAGAACCGCTGATTTAAAAGATTATTATCCTGTTTTGAAAAATGATTATAATAAAGCAAAAAGACAATGATAGTGATGATTGATTGGTTTCAACAACTAGTCTTACTGATGTGTTCTTTGGGAATAAAGAAACAAGGCAAGGTCTACCCCAAGTACTAGCCCTGCTTTTTATGAAAAGTCAGGGGCGTATAAATTACCTTCAAATATGCTGCTCTACACATATTCTAAGACAATTTCTCCCTGCTCAATTCCCCATGACACTTTGACCTTCTCTAGCCACCACCCCCCTCCCCCCCCCCCCCCCCCCCCCCCCCCACCCNNNNAAGAGTTGCGCGGCGTCTACCTCACTCTCTCGTCCGAGCCCACCATATCCAGTGGCAAGACTCTACGTCAAGACGACCAGGGATGGGTTCGGTTGCAGGAATTGTCATTGTTTGCGCCTTACGGGACTCCAACTCCGGGTTTGAATTCAGAGTTTCCTTCTCTTAGATGAGTTGCCGACCAAGGTTAACGAGTCTCATCCACCCGGGGTGATGTTTTTGCTTGACTGGCCTTTGGCTGGACTTGAACACCAGGGTGACTGGGTGGCCAAATGGTCTAAACTGAGCAAACCTCAATTTAGAAGATAATAAATAGTATTCATTTAATTTCAGTCATGGTATTTTATTTGTGTATTTGTTTGTGTGTCAATTTGTTGAAATTGTCCATAGGGCCCAGGGGCATGGGTATTTTAGGATAGGGAGCCAAGGCCTCAAAGTGTTAAAGCATTTTTTTGTAAATCCAAATTATTATTGTTGTCTATAAATATATTCTTTTTGAAAGATGCATATTATCTCAGTAAATGAATGCAAAGACACATCATAAGCCAAAAGAAATTTTTATTAATGGGCAAAGGTTCATTTTTAGAAAGTTTCCAATGTCATGATTATATTTCTCTTATATCTGTTGATTATAACAGTAAAATATTTTTTCTTCTAAATAATTGAATAGAAAAAGGAGATGCACGCACCAAAATAGAGGCTCTGAAGAAGGTTATCCAGCTCATTCTTAATGGAGAGAAGATGCCATCTCTCCTCATGATCATCATTCGTTTTGTGATGCCTATGCAGGATCACACTATTAAAAAACTCCTCCTGGTATTTTGGGAAGTTGTTCCAAAATATACACCAGAAGGAAAGTTGCTTCAAGAATTTATTTTAGTCTGTGATGCCTACAGGAAGGTGAGAATTGTAATTTTTAAGTATAATCAAGATCATTGAATTTTTAAAAAATTATTTTCATAGCTACTGCTTAAAACATTTATGTGCCTTTATTTCACTATTGTTTCTTTTAGGATCTTCAACATCCAAATGAATTTATCAGGGGATCAACCCTACGCTTTCTTTGTAAGTTGAAGGAACCTGAACTCCTTGAACCTCTGATGCCAGCAATAAGACAATGTCTAGAGCATAGACACTCATATGTTAGGCGTAATGCTGTTTTAGCTATTTACACAATTTTCAGGTTTGTCATTTTTATTTTAACTACTAAAGGCTAGGTTTCATAATTATTATTATATTTTCTCCTAATAAGATTAAAAAAAAATTTTTTTTTTTATAGCCCAGCCTTGACCTTGATGACCTAAATTTTGGTTCAATGCAGAGTTAAATCTTAAAGCTATCTCTCTTTTGTTTTTATATTTCCAACACCAATCTAGACTAAAGGTTCTGTGTTATGCCCTCTGTGGTGTTAATTGAATTTTAACAAACTTGTTGTCTAGAAAAATTTGATAAGGGGCTAACACATGTATATTTTAGGCATACCATGAGCTAAAATGAAGACAATCAGTGCTCTATACAAATTTACTTTTCACTCTTACTGGAATTTGGTATGTTGACAAGGCCAGGTCTGTGGGGTAAATAAACAAAGGTGCCCTACCAAGTAACTTTGGTTCCAGAAACATCTCTTCTCTCTGGTAGACTATAAATAAAAGAAATTTACCAGAGATACAAGTGACCTACAAAGACTTAAATGATTTTTCTTTGTGTGTGAGGATTAATAGTTTTGACTTTTTCTTATTTGTATTCACATGCTGTAAGTTGCTAGAGTTTTTTTTTTTCTTTCTTCTATATATTTGATTTTGTCCTTTTATACCATATTGTTAGTATAAATAAATTTTTCTTGTAATTAGCACTGGTTGGGGTGTCATTCTTTCTCTAGTATATTTAATCAATGGTATTCTTCCTTTATCATGTACTGTTTGTAAATGAGCCAGTTTTTGCTTTGGCAATGAGCCATATTTTAAAACAACATATTAAATTTGTTAAACCTTAATTAAAATCTTTTTTTTATTTTTCCCCCCACAGAAACTATGAGTTTCTGATACCAGATGCTCCTGAACTTATTCACAACTTCCTTGAAGGAGAGCAAGATATGTCCTGCAAACGTAATGCCTTTATGATGCTCATTCATGCAGACCAGGTATTAGCATTTGAAGTGTCATTAATCTATATTTATTACCAATTCTAAAAATGTGCCAAAGACATTGTTGAAAGAGCTAAAAGGATATAAATTGTTTGGGTTATGTTTACATAAACTCTCATGTACACAAAAACATTTTCTTTACCCTAAAAGTTTTTAAAAACCTATCGAAGACAAGGAACAATAAAACTAAAGGAAATAATTTAAAAATTTCAGGAGAGAGCATTGAACTACCTGAGCAGCTGTATTGACCAAGTTACTTCTTTTGGAGACATTCTTCAGCTTGTTATAGTAGAGCTCATTTACAAGGTGAGTTTTTGTTGCCTTGTTAATTCATATTTCTATAACCTGTGAGTCTTGAAAAAATTGTATTATAAATATCATTTTTGAGAAACTTGATGTAACAAGATACATTTGATTACAGTTAATATAATATTTGGATGTGTTCTGTTTAATAAATGTTTCTGGTAATAGGTTTGTCACGCCAATCCTGGAGAGAGGGCACGATTCATACGCTGCATTTATAACCTGCTCAACTCCTCAAGTCCAGCAGTGAGATATGAGGCAGCTGGGACGTTGGTGACTCTCTCTAGTGCACCTACAGCTATTAAGGTAAATATTGTAGTCCTGAATTTTGTTTAGAAATTGTGAAAATGGTGCACATGGCCAGTTTTTTTGGTCTAGTTTAGCAGGGGAAAAAAATCAAAGTTGAGTTGGCTCGAAGTTAATTTGAAAATATTTATTTAACAGGTAACTAAACAATTTTATACGGTTAAAATGAAACTTTAAAAAATTTGTCTTAAAAATGAACTTAAATGTATTAAATTTTTGCATATATGTTCTGTCACTTACACAAACAGGCAGCAGCCACCTGCTACATTGAACTCATTGTGAAGGAAAGTGACAACAATGTCAAGCTTATTGTTCTGGACAGACTGATAGCTCTACGAGAGGTCCCTGCCCATGAGAAAGTCTTGCAGGTAATGTAATTTAATATTTTACATTTCATATTTTAAAAATTATTATTATTATTATTTTTTTTCTTTTATAATTTGTTCAGAAGTGAAGGATGTGCTTGGGTTGAATCTTAGTGACAAAATAATAAACAGTTTATTGGTAATTGAGGTTTAATAAGATTGATCTTTTTTATGCCCAGTATTCACCTTCTACTGTTGTTGATAATAGGAACTTGTCATGGACATTCTTCGAGTACTTAGCTCCCCTGACCAGGAAGTGCGCAAAAAGACCCTAAATTTAGCTCTGGATTTAGTGACATCTCGTAACATTGAAGAGGTATTCCGTTTTATGTTGCATCCTTATTTGTTGGCTAAAATGAGATGTTGAAAAACTTTGTTGTTTCAATTGGTTAACATGATATGTTGAAAAACATTGTTAATGTTTCAATTGGCAAACACAATATGTTGAAAAACTTTGTTAATGTTTCAACCTTTTGATTTTAAGGCACATTTTTATGGTTTACAGCATTCATAGAAAAGATCTATGTTTTTTTTAAGGCTTACACTACATAAATCATCCCCTTTTAAAATAAAAGTTGCTTTTTAATCATGTTAGGTGATCATATTGATAAATTTATTATTTAAAGCTCAGTGTCTCGATATCAAAAAGTGGGTTGATTAATCACAGGAAAACAAAAGAATGTATTGCAACCAAATTTGACATGGTCATACCACCTGAACTAAACATCGTTCCTAGAAAGTTAGCTCAAAATCCCTCTATCCTTAAAGCTTTAATAAAAAAAAAAGTAACTAGAGAGTAACGCTAAAAATAATATTTATTAAGCTTGGCAATGCAGCTCTATAAAAAATCTCGGACGTTCAAGATTAGTTATTTTGGGGTACTCATTTTTAAAAAGCCTTTATTCAGAACTCCACGCTTACAAATCAGATAATTAAGGAATAACAAAAGGTTTTCAATGTGCTTTTAAAGATGCATCAAAAGAACACATTGGTAAATATTTGTGTAGATAGCATTTTGGGGAGTTTGCCCTAGGGAGATTTGATCTTTGGTATACTTTGTTTGGAGCATGCATTTTTAATAAGGCTTTAATCTATGTTCACAAAAAAGTGTGCTTTAAAAATATTTGAAATAATTTTTGTAAAAAAGATTACTGTTTATTGCAACCATATTCCTTAAATATATGGAAATACGTTCACTGCATGGTTTAACAGGGATTTTATTTTAGATACAAATTATGAAATGGTCAGTGGCATGTATAACAGGGGCTTTTGTGTTACTAAGGATTTACCTTCCTGTGGGTTCTTTTATAAAATATGTATGAGGGAAGGGAAAATCTCAAGTTTGTGATGTAGCCCTAGTCAGCATTGAGTCAAATACACCACCGAATGGGGGGTGCATTTAATGAGTATCCCATTGTCTCAAAGGCACACATTTGTTACTAATGGAACAATTTCAATTATTAGTTTATTTCCCTTTTTTATTTTATATGAAATTATGTACATTATAATGACATCAGATAATGAAACAGTAATTTTACAGTGAAAAGCGGTGAAAGACCCTAACAAAGAAACATTATAAAATGTCATACTCATCAATGTGTAAATGGTGATTTTTTTAATTAATGTGTGTCTTAAATAAAAAGAACGATCTCTTAATTAATATTTCAAATTTTCATCCATTTATCTTTCTGTTATAATATTTATTTTCTATATATAGGGGAAAATTTAAGATTTGCTACAGACACTCGCTGTAACAGGCCCCCATTTATGACTTAGTGAGGTTCTCTTGAGTTGGTCTCTATTGGTCTCTCTCATAAACATTTGAGTGATATTTAGTGTAAATAATAGCATAAAGTACTCACATGAGATGCTTATGCCTTGAGGAATATTTATAGGTCCTATATTTTCTAAAGGTTGATAGAGGTCATCTCTAACTAGTTCAGGACCCCTAATATTAAACCAAGGATTCACAACATTATCATCAAAATCATAATTTTGATCGTCTTCATTACTATCCTGGTTGTTTTCATCAGCGTCAATGTAGGATACACTGCTAGAATATCAAAATCACTAGTTTGATCAGTGTCACTGTCAGTCATTTTGGAATTTTACGATATTACTTGCAATGCAAAAAAAAATTCCTGTACAAAAAAAAATCTAGTAAACAGTCAACGGAGGCTGCCATTAAAATACCAGAATGTGTAGGAATATGTAAGGACAATCTGATTAGCTTGTATGTAGACTACTGATTGAATTATTGGGCCGTTGAATTCTAAAATAATAATAATCACTTCTGGGGCCAGAAAGTTATCTAGAATTATACAGGAAAATATATATATGATGTTTCATTTTAAAGCTAAATTTTACTTCTCTTTTAACAGATGGTTTTGGTATTGAAGAAAGAAGTAGTTAAGACCAATAATGTTGAGCATGAAGATACTGGTAAATACAGACAGCTACTTGTTCGAACCTTGCACCAGTGCAGTGTCAAGTTCCCAGATGTTGCTGGAACTATCATTCCAGTGGTAAGTTATATTTTATTTAATAATCTCAAAGTTTATGTTCTTTAATTTTTAGGATTCAAAACACTGTGAGGAATTTGGTATCTATAAAAAATTATGTATATCTCATGACAGCCTTTTATTATTAAAATTAGCCAATTACCCTTTTTTCACCTTTGCATTACATTAAGTAATTGACAGACATGAGGCAATTAGTATTTTAAACAAATAATTTATTTATTGAAAGTAACATAAGCAAATAAATTAACTGAGCTTAATTTGTTTACTCACAAATGCTAAGTATTTAAGGTCAATGATACATTTTTTAAAAAGTGAATTCCTATAATTTTAAGGAAATATTTCTGTTCCTCTAAAAGTCTACCGGTTTTGGTCTAATTTGTATAAATGTGATTTATTTCTCAAATATGCCTAATTCAAAAGTGTATTAATCTTACTCTTTTGTTTAGTTGATGGAGTTTTTGGGAGACACCAACGAATTGGCTGCAGCTGATGTGCTGGTGTTTGTACGTGAGGCAGTTCAGCGCTTCAATCAGTTGAGACCTTTAGTCATGAGCAAGCTCTTGGATGTTTTTAGTACCATTAAGGCAATGAAGTAAGTTTTTTGTGTGTGTTTTATTGAATCTATTAATAGCAAAGAAAAACAAAACAGATCAAGTCAATTCAACATAAATATTTAATAATTAATTTCTTACAACAAATGATTAATGAATAGAGGGTATGCATTGACATAAAGACAAAAAACATTAAGTTGGATTAATACTGTATTTAATATTACAAAGTACTCAAGTGTTAAATGACATTAACAGCAGCACCTGAAAATGAGGAAAGGTTCAAGTGCAATTTTTTTTTAAAGTTTTCATATCAAATAAATTACAGTACAATGTAATTTCTTTTTTGCTGATATTTTCATCACCAATCTAGAATACATCGTGCTGCTTTGTGGATTCTAGGTGAATACTGTACAACTTCAGATGATATCCAGAGTGTGATGACCCTCATAAGGCAATCACTTGGTGAAGTAAGGAACTTACTTAAATCTTGTATTCAGCTATGTGCATTCTTAATATTAAAATTTGATGTGTATACCATTTTTTTGTAGGGATTAAAAAATCGCATTCTATTGTTACTAGTTAGTTAAAACAACAATGAAATGATGCAAGAAGCACCGTCCCCTCCAATCATATCTATTGAGGGTTAAAATCTTTCGGTTGTTGAGCATTTCACATACCTTCGATTCAATATTTCTAGTTCTCTCTCTGTTGATGAAGAGATAAATACCAGGATCGCAAAAGCAGCAGCAACTATGGCTAAACTGAATAAGTGGGTGTGGAATAATCTCAATCTAACTGATAAAACAAAAATATGTGTCTATCAGGCTTGTGTGCTAAGTACGCTCCTATATGGCAGCGAAGTGTGGACCAGTCAGGAGCGGAAACTCAACAGCTTCCATCAAAGATGTCTGCGTCTCATTTTACGCATTCGCTGGCTGGACAAGGTGCCTAACACAGAGGTCTTGGAACATGCACACATGTTTAGCATATTCTCCTTTCTTAGCAAGAGGCGCCTTCGCTGGTTAGGCCATGTAAGGAGATTGGAGGAAGGCCGTATCCCAAAGATGCTGCTGTATGGAGAGTTGGCAGAAGGGACAAGACTTATTGGACGGCCGCGCCTGAGATTTATGGACGTTTGCAAAAGGAGCATGAGGGAAGCCAATATTGAAAACAACGAATGGGAGCTCATTGCCGAAAAACGTTCCAGCTGGCGAACAGCTGTGTATGAAAGAGTAAAAAAAGGCAGAAGATACGCGAAACGAGGCCCTTGCAACAAAAAGAACAATACAGAAGTTAAAATCTTACCAGGAATCAATATTCTCCTGCGAGAAATGCAGTTGAGATTGTCATTCTAGGATTGGCCTAGTGAACCACTCGTCAAAGTATAGGACTACATAGCTACTCCATCGTCTCACGAAGACGGAAGGATGCCATTAACATATATAAAACAACAAGAATATGTTGCAAATAATATGCATACTGTTTTCAATCCCTAATATAACTTACTTCATATTTTCAGATACCTATTGTTGATGATGAAATGAAAAAGGCTGCAGGAGAGGTTAAAGAAGATGGTAAGATTTTATGTCTATTTTTTTTATCTCGTATTACAATCACTATGGATGATCTCATTTTTTAAAAATTCAGATAAATGTATTGGTTCTAATATAAATTAATGTTGTTCACACAAATTGACCTTCAAAAAAACTACCCATATTATATAATAGGTCATTCTCCATGTTTAATCTTGGATTCAGTGGTCTGTTTTATGTGCTTCATTGTTACCCTGTAATTTTTTTTTTCTTAACTTTTAAACTTAAAAATGCTTTCCACCAACCCTTACTTTAATACAGGGGTGGGCAAAATGCGGCCTGGCAACTGATATCATGCGGCCCTATAGGCATTTAGAAATGTAAAAAATTACTTTGTTTTTAAGCTATTATGTTGAATTTTCCAGAATTTCATGTACCATCATGATTGTTTTAACATTTGTGATCAAGTTTCTTTCCAATTTTCTTTTTTTTTTTAAACAGTCCTTGACTTTTGTCATATATTGCTAAAAATGAGAATTTACCAATTTTAATATAGAGAAATGTTTATCGACATGTAAAAATTGGACATTGTATACATCCCCCCCCAATAGCTCAATGTGACCCTCTGCACAAAAAGTTTGCCCACCCATGCCTTAATACATAAAACTGATATTTTTAATACTGGAATCCAAATGATTTTCAGATGTAGATTTCATTAAGTGTAATGATGCTTACATTGTTATTTTATCTGGATTAGAAATGCAAGTTGGAAGTGGTGCAGTCCAAAGACTGGTAACTGCTGATGGAACATATGCCACACAAAGTGCTTTTAGCACTAGGACCTCTGCCAAGAAAGAAGAAGTGTAAGTCTTTAAGAGATAAACTTTAAAGTATGTATAAATAAAACTTTGTGCTGCAAGTAGGTAGTCCAAACTAAAATTTTCTATACATAGCAGACATATTTGGTGAGTTTCACCTGACAGAACTTTTTATTCTAAGATATAGGCCACTTATTTCATGTAGTTATCTCAATAAACAAAAAAGTTATGCGATTTTCAAATTTGCTGAAAATCGACCAAAAATGGATTTTTTTACCTTGTGAAAAAGTCCCATGTTTAAGGACCTATATTTTCTAAAATAATCAACAGAGAATTCCAGGAATTGGTATATGTGCTCCAAAGTTTACAATATTTAAGCCCAATTTTTTTCAAGCAGCCAGATCTATTAATTCTTAAGTTATTAAAAAATAAAAAATAACAATAATGATTTTTAGTCATTTTTATTTTCTGACAGGAAAAGTGTAAAAATACACATTTTCAAAAATTTGTTAAAATTTCTGTTATTGACTTACATAAATATGTCATACATCAAATTAAAGATAATTTTAAGCAGAACAACATGCAGTATGCCTTAACATCATCAATAAACACTTAAAGGCACTAAAATAAGTCTAAAAGTACTCACTTAGCGTTTTTTTTAAAAATGAAGGTTTAAAAAATTTGATTAGAAAATGCATTTTATCACATAATTGTGATAAAATCAAAGGAATATGATGTCAGATGTGTTTACTATTAATTAAAAGACTAATAAAAAAAAATATCAATGCAGAGTATTGTCAAAAATATAAAGCAATTGAGCATACATTTTAATTAAATTGTCAGGGAAATGCCTGGTCTATCAACTGGGGGGTGACTGGGTAAGCTTCTGTAACCAATTTGTAATCTTGTTGGTCTTATTCCCCAGTAGCTTGATAAGTGCATTATCAATAGCAATTGTCAACTCTAGCCACAATGTTGCACCCAGGGTCTCCGCTGTGGAATGAACAATTAAACTTAGAGAGCATACAACATTGTTTTAAGTATTCATAGGTGTAATATAAAAACTAAATATTGAGAGAACTGGGCGAGTCCATTTCAATAGGCCTTAGGTACCGGTAGTACTAGTGAGTATAAGATGAAATAATATTGAAACAATTCTAACTCAGAAATACGTTTCATTGAGTTTTAATAAATGCTTCACAATCTCATTGTCAAGATAAGCTTACAAATTATTTGTTTAATTATTTTGCTGTGTATAATGTTTTATTCACTTGAACCCTCCTACCCCAGATAAAAATTTAAGTCGGTCCACCCCAATGTTTACTCGCCGGCATCCATTTTTATTTTCTCGATCGGACAGAAACCCTCTTTGAAATCAACAATACTATCTTTATTTTAAAATTGAATTTATAAAATATAAGAAAGATCAAACATTAACATGTCTGCGACATGTCTATCAATTTTTTTTATCGCTAGACTGTCCTCAATTAAATACATTTGGTCCGATCGGCAACATATCTCCTAGTCAAGTTCACAATAGCTACAATTCGTTAAAATATATCTAATATAGCTGACGACACCAAATTAAGTTTAACTCACTTCTAATCAACATTTACATTCACTAATACTAATACATTATATGAAAATTTAATTATATTACTTACTTGTTGATTAAAAGCCCCAACATGGCTAAAAAAGCAACCGCCATAACGCTGGTACTAGTACTAGTCACCAAGCGCGCGTTAGGCGTCTAGTGCTAGCGGTGTGGAACTGGAAATGGGGGTGTTTTTGTAAACATCGCTGCTACGCGTCAATCATGCCCACTCATTTGATCTCGTGATATTAAATAGTTAAAGACCTGATCTTTCCAACGGTGTAAAGAGTGTCCTAATATCTCCATGTTTTCGACCATTTTTTTAATACGAAAGTTTTCAACCGGCTTTTTCAAAATGAAATAAGCAAGGTAGATAAACTTTCTATGCATCAAACGAAAGGACAGCATCTGCTCTTTCTTATGGTGGTAGAATTATTGCGATAACTTAAATAGACGCGTAGCCGTGGGCGTTTGAAACACCTTGGGGTAAACCGGTACTCGCAAAAACGCCGTAAAATTGGTCAAAACTGATACTTTTCAAACACAGAAAAAACACTTTCAAACACATGTTACAGTCATGCAAGTAACACATTTCGCCAGATAAAGACTTAAACTTTATTCACATATACATTTTATTGCTGTATCGCTACTAGAAGAGGATTAATTATTTTTTTGAAAACTTCGAAAAATGACCCTAAAACGCATTTTTTCTTTAGTTTGGACTACCTACTGCAAGGAGAAATTATGTTAAAGGTAACTAAAGGGATTGGAAGAGACAGTCTGTACAGAGCTCTGAGCTAATATGTATCCATTTATTTTCTTCACAGTCCACCTCTACGTAAAGATATGATGGAAGGAGACTTTTTCATCGGTGCTGCCTTGGCAACCACATTGACAAAATTAGCTCTCAAGTACATCAACATTACCCAAGACAAGAAGAGACAAAATGTAAGATCAATTTGTTAAACACCCTGTGAATACTTGTAGTTCCCATGGCCAAAATAACACTTAAATGCAATTTAACTACTGTTAAACCAGGAAAAAAAATTAATAACTGTTAATGTAAAATGAAAATAAGATTGATACTCTTTTATAATTTATAACTATGTATTGGATTTTGAGCACCTTTTAATTATGTTAAAATCAAATTTTATAGTTTTTTGGTGTTTTTTTCATGTTAATGCCATTTTCAAATATTTGTAGGCATTTGTTGCTGAAGCAATGCTTATCATGGCAACAATAATTCATCTTGGCAAGTCAGGACTTCCTGCAAAAGTAAGTTGAAATCAATGTTAATATGAAATATTTGTGTGTAAAGCAAATTTTGGTCATTGGTGAAAGGTAAGGCACATACAAGTACTGTTTTACTTAATTACCGGTACTAAAATTTAGTATTTAATATGAATTGAAAAACCAAAACAGTTACCAACAATGCATTAATTCCCATCATAACTTTAAATATCCTTTTGAGCAAATTATATTTTTGATCTCTACAGAACTGTATTGCATTGACTGTATTTAATTTTTAAAAGTATAAATGAAGTATTCTTGATTACTCTTCATTTAATTAGCCCATCACTGATGACGATGTTGACCGTATTGCTGTATGTCTGAGGGTTTTGGCAGAAAAATCAGAACTGATGGGTGAAATATTCAACACTGCATGTAGGGGTTCCCTTTCCTTGATGCTGGCTGCCAAGATTGAAGAAGAGAAACAGATGCAGGAGGTATACATTCATTCATGTGTTTGTTTATAAGTGTTAATAAAAACATAATTGGTAAAAATGTGTCATTAGGTAATAAAAGAACCTGAAGTTTTGATTACAGGCAAATCTATTTATCTTCCTCTACTTTATCTTACATGACAGCTTGCAGAAAGAAAAGTTGTCAAAGTGCATGCAGATGATCCCATTTCATTTGTTCAGTTGATAAACAGAAGTGATCAAGGGGCTGGAGAAGTAAGTCTTTCAATGTTCACTCAGTATGGTTACCCCATAAACAAGTATAAGTAGTATAATGTTTTCTCCATAACTTAATTTTGAGTTATTATGCTCATGGTTGTACCATATGGGAAACTTAATAAGTATTTTCATTAATTTTCAGTTTTTTAAAGAAAGTTGCCTTGTGAATATTTTTGTAATTCTGGTAAAAATTCATCTATACGAAAATAACCAATTTTAACATTTCAGAATATGTTCGAACTGACATTGTCTCAAGCATTGGGTGTCAATGCCAAGAAAGATTCTGACCCACTTGGATCATCAAAATTAAACAAGGTTTTAAATTATTTTATAGTTTTAGTTTTACCTGATCTAAGTAAATCAGATACTGCAGCCATTTTCAAATATATTCTAAATCATAAATCTTATCCTAAACAAAATAACCTTGCATTTATAAAGCATTTAGCAAGATTTTACTTTTTTAAGGATGTAAAATGTACATTATATATCACAACTTTCATGGAGTAACTTTAAAACATATTGTCAATCCTTGCTTGTTTCTCTTTCAAATAGGTTTCCCAGCTCACAGGGTTCTCTGATCCAGTTTATGCTGAAGCTTATGTAAATGTCAACCAGTATGATATTGTCCTAGATGTTCTCATTGTAAACCAAACAGCTGACTGTCTGCAGAATCTTACCCTGGAGCTTGCTACATTGGGTAAAAAATATATTGTATCATATTTTGTAGTAATGATCTAATTGTCGTGAAAATCCAACAACCTATTAACTCATTTTCTGCAGTTGTTTATGATTAAATCACAACCTAGAAGAACTAATACTAATATTGTAATTGAAAAATTACAGAATCATTTTTTCATGTTCATCTTCACAGGAGATTTGAAGCTGGTTGAAAAGCCTCAACCTTTGACCCTAGCCCCTCATGACTACTGCAACATTAAAGCTAATGTTAAAGTTACCTCTACTGAGAATGGGATTATATTTGGAAACATTGGTAACTGAAATAAATTATTTCACAAATTGTCCCAGCTTATTATGTACAAATCAGTTTACTTTATCTTCCAGATCTACTTTGGTTATGCAAGACATTTTAATTTAAAATTTAACATTATCGCCTACTTAAAAAAATTAAGTAACTGCTCTTTCCATATCTTCATTTACATTTTTTTATATTTAATGACTTTGATGGCCTTCTTTTTATGTCTGTTTTTTAGCTGTTTGTTTTTTCAAAGTCCTTGATCTATATTTTGGGGAATAAGAAAATTGATGGTTATTTGTGTATGTTTATCAAGAAATATTTCTTCCTTTGCTCAGTGTATGATGTGACAGGAGCTACCAGTGACCGAAATGTTGTGGTGTTGAACGACATCCACATAGACATCATGGACTACATTGTACCAGCGAGCTGTACTGACACAGAGTTTCGTCAGATGTGGGCAGAGTTTGAGTGGGAGAACAAGGTGACGGTGAACACCAATATCCTTGACCTGAAGGAATACCTGGAGCATGTGATGTCATGTACCAACATGAAGTGTTTGACACCGGAGAAGGTGAGAATTAATTATTTTAAAACTTTGAGGGTCAAAGAAAATATAATCTGGTCTTTAAAAATATTTTGATGCAGCACCAGCTCTTAACCAGTTAGAACTTCATTGAAATTCACTTGCAGTGCATGATTTAAAAGAGGGGACTGATATATGATAATAAAAAAATAAGGAAGGGTATTTGTACTTGTCTATGATCATAATTCCCAAAACAGATTGCTTTCCCCATAGTGATTATTTTTAGAAGTGCAATTAATCTGAAAAAAACTAATAACTGATGGTCAGTATTTTAGTTTAATTAGCCACACATCAGAAGAATGTTTATCTGCAGCTTTTGACTTTTTAATTGATGCGTGTGCAATTGTAATTTATAGGTAGACGACTCAGATTTCAATCCACATTTGTTAATCAGATCACAGGTGAAACAATCTTTTAACCCTTGTTTAGTTCTCACTAGAAGGAATAGGATCGAGATTCTTACTTTTTATTTGTTTCTTAATTATTTAAATGCATAATTCCTGCCATTTTTCAAAAGCCAGCCCAACTGTGAAGCTTCAAAAAATATATTCATATTGCATTTTTAGTGCATGTGTACAAATTGTTGAATATCTGCAATTTGGGTGTAGACTATTGATATAGCTGAACCTCAATTGGTTCTTATGATTTTTTTTATTTTTGGACACCACTTGTCATAAAGATCCATAGAACTGAAAAATATTAATTCATTATTTTAAACCCATCCCCCCCCCACGGTCGTCTCTAACCAAATCATTTGTCATTCCCTTAGTTTTGACTCCTTCATGCACCATGACACCATCCTTGTTATTTCATTTTTTTTTTTTGCTTGAACTTGAAGTAAACCTGATGTAGTTATTTCTTCATTTTACCACTTTTTTTTTTACCCATAGTTAACTTTTTTTTTTTTTTTTTTTTTTTTTTTTTTTTTTTTTTTTTTTTTTTTTTTTTTTTTTCCTCTTTTTTTTTTCCCTTTCTTTTTTTTTTTTTTTTTTTTTTTTTTTTTTTGCATTTGTCCCAAGTTCACTTTCAATTATATCATCATATTATTTATCAATTACTAGGATCGCCAACATTTATTTTGTAGTGTATTGTTAATTAACAATACATGCATATTATGTTCAAAGTGCAGGGCATGGCTTGTGTGTTAGCTTCTTCAAAATTTCCATAACTTCAAATTATGCATTTGTGTTGGTTTGTATTCATCAATAACATCATCATAATTGGAACTAAAATTGTCACAAGATATGGGAATCTTAAAATATGTTGTTTTGATGTCTTGAGTAAATCCAAGCAGTAAGAAAATTTTACAGCATTTTGTAATCAATCATCCTACTGTTACACTCTTTCAGTTTTTTAAAAATTTTTTTACAAATGTTTAATTTGATTAGTTTTCACCACTATCTTCTACAATGCTAGAAGTTCTAGATAGTAAATATCTCTATGCATTGGGCCTTTTTTTTTTTTTATCAAGTAGGCTCATTTAACTTAAACTGCACCCAATTCTTTCTTCAATTATTCCATGGAATCAATATTTGAAAATTGAAATGAACCTGACACCTCCAATATGATTCAAATATGTGACTACAAATGTTTATAGTGGTTTGTAGTGGTCATAATTAATTGCAATTTTAACCAAGCTTTATTTAGAAATTAGCTGAAGCTGTCATTAATATACCAATTTAACTTTTAATTTCAGGCATTGTCTGGGGACTGTGGTTTCATGGCAGCCAACATGTATGCTAGATCTATATTTGGGGAAGATGTTTTGGCCAATCTTAGTATTGAAAAACCTTTACACTTGGGCAAAGATGCCTCGGTCCAAGGTCATGTTCGCATCAGAGCCAAAAGTCAGGTAAATACAATATTCACTCTGCCTCCATTTGAATGATTTAAGATTGTGGAGGGTGTTTTAATAAGATTTTATTGAGATTGGAAAATTAAAGCAGAGGAGCTGTAATCAAAAAGAGACTTATAAACTTTGTGTTTTGGCCTTATATTTCTAGTGAAAAGTAGAAAAACAGCTTTAAGCTTATTATGATTACTATAGTTACTTATTCTAAAGGCCATTTGTTTATAAGCATTACCCAGATATTAGTTCTAAAGCCCATTCCTTCATAAGCAGACTCTTAATGTACTTATTAGACAATTTTTAAAACAATTTTTATAGATTCAATCTGACAATAAATAAAATAGAGATCATCATATTCTTTATCCACAGGGCATGGCTTTGAGTATGGGGGATAAGATTAATTTGTCACAGAAGAAAGCTGCTAAAATTATGGCTGGCTAAATAAAAAGATGACAAGTTCTTTATCAGGACATTTTCCAACAAGTTTCTACCTAAATAATAAAATCTACTCATTGGATCATTATTTCTGTATATCATTATTTTTGTATACTTAGCAGCATTTTTGTTTTGTTTTTTCTTCTAAGGATAAAATTTAAGATTAAATTTTGAGGTGTAGCTTGGACAATGAAATGTGATGACAATAATATGTTATACTTAAAGTAGCTTAAAAGTGTAGACATCTTGCATAATCAGTTTATGCAAGTTGAACTAAATCAAGTATATTTGTTAAAAGTCAAAGTCTATATAATGGGATTTATGTTTCAACTTAGCTTGAATTACTGGTTTGAAAAGTGCTTTTGTTTAGTTCCTAAAAACACTTTTAGGGCATTTATTCTAAGAAAGGCAGTTTCATGATATTATAGAGTCAAACTTAAGCTAAGAATTTGTTTGTTGTCCATTGTTCAATAAAATTTGGGATACTGCTTTAAAATTGTGTAAAAGTTCTTTTATTTTAAATTGTAATGTTGGTACAAGTAAAGAAATATCTAAAGTTATTAACTGAAATATTTGTGACTTGGGGAAAATGAAGATTGGTCTATTTCTTTCTAGAACTTAGTTAGAAAAGGCATGCACTATTCCATGCCAGTATCCAAAACACTTATATGAAAGCTGGATAACAAATGAATCTGTTTTCTCCATGGGTAATACATAATTTGTGTCTAAACTAGATTAGATTAATATTGTTTTATAAACACAAATTGTTTGTGTGTAATTAGTCCACTTGACAGCTTTATCACAATCCAAAACTCTTATAATTAGCAAACAATATTATTCAGTCTTATGTAATATGAATTGCAACTATTTTAACTGACTCTGAATAAGAAAGTACACATTTTGTATACCAATCCACAAATGTGTAAAATCACTTGTAGAATATTTGCTGTTTATTTTGATTATAATTGTAAATCTTTGTTATGTCAGCCCTGTGTAGGTATATTATCAGAAATAATATTGAATAAAACTTAACTAGGTGCATCTGTGTTTGTGCTTGTAAGTAAATGAAATCCATCAAGTTTTACTTTAGCCATAATCGACTTAGAAATTAACAGCTGGTCAGCTTGATCATGAGGTTTACTGGCTACTCCATAAAATTTTTAGCAAAGAGTACATTTGCTGCTGAAAAACATATCACCTAGTACAGATGCTTCACCATAGCCAATGTTTATTTGACCAAAATAGAGGATTTAAATTATTTAATCTATAAGTAAAATATAACAAATCTTGTAGATCAAACTTTTATTTTACAGCTTTTATTAGGGAACGAAATAAGTACTATCTACATAAAAAAAATAATTGCTATAAAATGGTTATCTGTTGAGTTTTTGGGGAGTTTGAGTTTGAAAGTTTAATCAAAGTTCTCATTACATTCACAAATAACAGTACAGAGGAACCTTACTTTATAGCTCCAACTCTAAAGCCAATTGATAAAAATACATCACCTCATTCATTTATGCTGGTACTTGACTTCTATTCCTGTTAAGGCAGCAGACCTACAATTACAAGAGACATTTCTTTAACAAACTCTGTTAGGTCCCTTTTTTTTTTGAGATTCCTAATTCCCATGATTTGATTCATGCTTCTGAAAATAGCTTAATAACTTCCAGTTTAAGATACATGCAGAATTTAAGGTGTAACTTGTAACTATGCCACTTTTAAATTTCTGTGATAACTGTATAATAGATGATAAGTCTCTATCCTGTCATTCTAAGCTGAAAATTAAATTATTAAAAATTCATTGTCTTAGAAATAGTGTTGAAACAAATATAATAATATTTTTCTTAATAATATCAGGTTAATAACATAGTACTTAACATAAGTATTTACGATTTGTTAATTGATTTTAAAAAAATATATTATCCGCCAGACCTCCAGAAATTGATTATAATAATATTAATGCCTTCTTGTGATCTATGCAAATCAATGAAGAAATATGACACAATGAGTATCCACTCTATAATGACAGGACAAAGCTTGCAAAACATCTGCTTTTAAATAATAAACTCATTGTTATTTGACTTGAAATTCAATCCAAGGTCTTATTAAGAATAAGAAGCTCCTTCTCCTACCAGTAGTTAACAGATGTTGCATTAAAATTAGGTTTGTTTATTTATCATAGAGTGTTGCCATGTTAACATTCTCTCTTCCTTCCCCCATCCCCACCAAAATCAACACATTGGAACACATAAATGAACACATTTAACTAAACTTAAATGAATGTGAGTTCAGAACTAAACTTTGTCATTTATGTTTTATGGTTAAACTGCTTTGTCCAAATGAATTCAATTATCACAGGTTTTAATATGCAAATAGCACATTTGTTTAAATGCTGTACTTAGGGGGCAAATGTTTATGTTAACATTTTCCACCACAAAGCCAAATCAGGCGTTCAAAAAATTAGTGTTATTAAAAACATAGAAACAAATATTTTCTTTTCAACAATGAATATTACATATATACACTTCACAGCCAAATTAAATCAAGCAGCAGAAACTATGTTTTGCACAACAAAAAAATAAGGCTTATAGCAACTACAAGGGATTTGTGTGTTAACAAAATGTAGCTATGCAAATACTAAATGAGTCTGGGTTTTCAACTCATTACAGGTTACTATCAAAATTTTTATCATAGATTATGATCATCTCTGTACAGTGTTTTGAAAATACATATTTAAAGTACACAGCCAAATATTGCAGGGAAATCAAATAAAAGAAATAAACATTCCACAATAAAGCAATTTTTTTTCCTCTGATATTTGCTAACTTATACCAACAGTTCAAACTGATAATAAAAAATAAAAGGGGAATAACACAACTAAGCCATAAGGTATAACCATGAAATTTAAAGAATACACTGAAAAATGTCCGCCCCCCCCCCCCCCCCCATGCCGTAAATATTTTAAAAAATCTATTTTCATATTAAATAAGTTTTAAATTGCTTCATATTCTGATACTGACTAAATCAGCAAAAGACCTTGTCATTTCTGTGGTGTAATCTTATTTTAAATATATAGATTCAATAATACTTTTCATTACATAACATTTCTTTAAATTATAAATTTACAAAATTAATTAATCTGTAATATAAATAGCAACAAGTCAAATTTCATAAGTTAAAGGCAACAAGATGTTTAGAGTTACAATTGAGATATTCTTTTAAAACAATAAGTATAAGAGGAGAAACAAAACCACTATTGATGTTAACTTTTAACAGCAAAGTTAATGAGAAATTTGCATTAATAAACTGTTCATCCTTCCATATATTTATAATGATAAAAAAAAAAAATCAACATTGGTAACAGGCTGCCTTAAGTCTGGTCAAGCTTCCTTCAAAGCAGCTTTCGGCTTTCTAACTTTAAACTCACTACAAGACTTGCAGCTCCAACATACAGAAAATTGAGAAGTTCATACGCAATAATTACCAGAATGAAGGTTAAAAGAGTAATGAATCATATATTTACAGAATAATTACAAGGTGATAAAAAAAAATTGATCAATTTTAATGGTAGTAAAAGATGGAAGAAGTTGTGCTGTTGCTACTTATGATTGGAAACCTGATCTAATGTTATATTTCATCTGATGGAAGTCCATATCAAATAATCTTTCAAACACAAAACTTGAAGGCAACCAATTTCACTCTAAATAAGGAACTGTCAGTAATTTTCTTTTCAAACATTGTATGTGGAAAAAAAATATAAATTAAATTTTTTACTTTTCCAGTATTGATTTTACTGTTAGTATGAAAACAAAAACAGTATTCTCTGTCAATACAATACTACTCAAGTCCCAAATCAAATGTTAATAAATTTATCTTATTTAAAATTATTTAATTATGTTTTGCTAAAGCTGTTTTCATTTAAAATTTTAAATCAATTTAATTGCTTCCTTGATGGGCATTGTTACCATGTATACTATTATATACAGACAAATAGAAACTAATAGCACTTCTCGGCATGAAGTTCCAATGATTTCTGACACAAAATTAACTCTTCTGAGGAGGGGGGAAAAAAATGATGATTTTTAACTGATGAGATTAAATCTTGAAGCGGTTTTGTAACAATTTTACATTTTTAAATCAAGCTCCTAAAAAAAACAAAAAACATTGTCCTTTAGTTATGAGCCTGAGTGTATTCAATGATTCACATCATGTTATTGCCAATCTCCCACGCACTTGAGCCATCCAAATATTTGTTAAGCTTTTCACAGCTCCTTACTACCTTTACATGACTCACATTCATACAGATTTACAAGAAGCAATGCAAATAGGATCTGCCATTTTAAGTTGTCCTACAATTTGCAGGCCCACCTGATTGATTTCCCTCATCTTCATCCACATCAAGGAATCCAGTAATCCGATATCCCATATTCATCAGCATGACCTCCAATGGATCAGCATTCATTCGTTTCTGATTAGCTAAAGCTGCATCATCACTGTTGTTTACTTCTCTCTCATTTTGAGTACCATCCTTAAAAAATAGTTTATAGAGTAAATTTTATTGAATAAGATCCTACAAAAAGTGTAACAAAAATGATTATACATTTTTTTTAATACTGTAAATGTTAATTTTTTTAAATTATACATTATTCTTTTATAATGTAAATTTTCATTTTTAAAATTTTTGCCAGGCACAATCCCTGAATGTAAAAAAAACAAAAACATTATTGACGCCATTTTTTGTTTAAATAGAAGAATGTATAGCAATTAATGAAACTGTTATGTTTTAATAATGATCACAAAAAAGAAAAAAAAAAGAAATTCCACTCTATTTTATTTTTACAAATAATTACAAGTAGATAGAAAACTATGTTATCTAAAACAGCATTTCCCAAACTTTTAAGTTTGGCAGTCCAGCTGACAAATTTGGAAATTGTTGGCAGATTTATTCATTATATCTGCCTTCTATTTTACCATAAATATTCATTTTGCGCGGACCCCCCATTTGGGGAATGCTGATCATTACCATTTACATCCATAATTTGTTTTAAAATTTGGTTACCTCTGGTCTAGGACTCCATAATCTGACCACAGGATCTATACCACTTGTGGCCAACAGACATGTGCTGGGGTGTGGCTGCAAGCAATTAACAATGGACTCATCCCCTCTCATCACACGCATGATATTGGTGGTATTTTTATCCCATATGAAAAAAGACCCATCATCAGATCCTGCCACTATGTACTGACCGTTGCTGGAGAATTAAAGATATTACGCTTTAGGCTGATGAATCATTTTTTTTTTTTACTCTTCCACAGTCATTTATATTGTTAGATGAAAATTTATAAGTTAAACCAGGGGTGGGCAAACTACAGCCTGCAGGCCGCAAGTGGCCTGGCAACTGATATAATGCGGCCCTCAAAGGCATTTAGAACTTTAAAAAATTACTTTGTTTTTAAGTCATTTTGTTGAATTTTACAGAATTTCATAAACTGTTATGATTGTTTTAATTTTTCAACTTTCTTTCTAATTTTCAATTTTTCTAAACAGTCCTTGACTTTTGTCATGTAATGCTAAAATATCAATTTACCGATTTTGATATAGAGAAATGCTTATCAACATGTAAAAATTAGACATAATATACACGCCACCCCCCCCCCCCCCCATAGCTTTGCATTTGACAATATTGCCATCCGCACACAAAAATTGCCAGCCCTTTGGTTAAATAAATAGTTTAGAATTTACCAAGTCTTTGTCACAAAGTACATGTAGCAACCATTATTGGCCCACCAGACAAAACCTCTTACCTGCCAAAAAAATTCGCCTCCTTAATGTCAGTGGTTGTATTGCAGTGGCCACAAAACCTAAGAGAGTAGTCACACGCATTTCTCTGGAGTTCCTTCTCTTGCTCTGACTCATGTCTAGGACTAGGGTGTCTCATGCCATCCTCAGGTCTGTGATCTGCATGATCCTTAGAGCCTGGAGCTTAGGGATTTAAGTTGTCAGGGTCAGCAAAGGTCAAGTTCATTCAAAAAATAATGAGAGGCCTAAGATGATTATTAAATTAAGTCAAAGAAGAAATAGTTTATCATTGACCTTATTTTTTTTTTCATAACCTTATAGTTATAGCTTACACTTTTAAAGAGGTTTCAATTTCAAAGAGGTTTGACAGGAGCTAATAAAAAAAATAAAAAAACTGAACTAGGTAAGGAGCCTGTGGGTTAAGTGCAAGACTAAGCTTACCTTCGGTCTGTGAGAAAATGGCTGCCTTAATGTCCCTATCTAAAGTTTCACAGGCATGACTTTTAGCATAATCAGGAAAGCGGTGCTTAAAATGGTTGAGACAATCAAAGGCCTCTTGACTCCATGCTAGCTCAAAGAGACAGCGGGCTAATCGGAAGTGAGCTTTCATGTGATGGGGGTCTAGTGTCAGAGCTAGGTAACAATCACGGAGAGCTGCATAAAGATCTCCATCCCTGAGAATAGGAAAAAGGTGTTTCTATGGGTAATCTAGAAACTTACTATGTGTCTTTGAGTTCTAAAATACCAGCACTTATATCTCACAGTTCCATTGCTGATGGTTAAAATTGCAGCATAAAATGTGTGGGACCAAAGCTTAGTAAAGTAACCTATGTAAAAAATTCAGTTTTGTGAAATCTGAAAATCCCAGGTTTGGGTTTTCACTAGTCATGGTTTCACTAATTCTCTGGTTAAGCTTTAAAGATTTCAAGGAAATAACACAGACGTAATAAACAGCAAAATTATGTTGAGTGTTGGACTGCCATAAAGGTGTCAAGTAGATTAATGAGACACAAACAATTTGTGTCAAAACAATATTTTTTATTTTATATTTAGATAGGATACATATAGTACATATACATATTTATTTAATACTTAAATGCAGGTTTTTCTTATGTGTAACCATAATGAAAGTTATCCAATAAAGAATGGTTCATTTGCCAAAATGAGTTCATTTATTGCTTATTTGTTTTGATACTTCTGTTTTGCAACTGATTTACTGCTTGTTTGCTACAAACAATGATTTCATCCAAACACATCTGTTTCAGCTGTTTAAAGCACTGCAGTCTTGAAGACTAAAATTATAGTTCTGTCCCAGAAATTTAATGAAATCCTTAAAATTGTAACAACTCAGGAACATCAAGTGTACCAGAAGTAAGAGATTTTAATAAGTTTTCTGGTAGAAGCTTTTCTGCATGCTTTTTTTATGTTTGAAAGCATAAATATCTAAATTATGAATTTATTTGTTGTTCATTACAATATAAATAAACAAGAGCATTTACCATTTTCTTTTCAAATATGCCGCAGCCCTGTTTCCATACAAAACAGCAGAAGTATTGCACCTAGCAATGGCCTGATTGTATACATCAATAGAGCGTTTGTATTCCTCTTGTTCAAACAATGTGTTGGCATGTTTCTTCAGACTTTCAACAAGTGGAGTCAACTGCTTTGGCTCACCTTTGTGTCTGAAATGGATGTACAATTAAACAATTGTTAACATATTTTCAAATGTTAACATGTCAACAGTTAAAATTTTTCTCAGTTTTACTAATAATCAATTGTTTTTTTATTAATTCAAATAATATCTTTGACCTTGCTAATTTAAAAAAAAAATATTTCTCATAAAGTATGGAAAGCATTTTTTAAATTAAGAAATATTTTAAATAAGAGAGTAGTATCAAATATTTGAGATTGGAGAACATGTCTTTTTTTATTTTTCATTTATGATGCACTTTATGTAAATTTATTTAAATTGATGCAAATTTTGCTGAAGGGTTGACCGGAAGGAAGTAGATGAAACATCTAAATTTGTATTTTGTTCTCCATTAAAAGCATAACTATACTCTTTTACTCGCACAATTTGTTTGTTTTTTTAAATATTTTTTTAAGGGTTATTAGACTTACCTCTTATTTGGGAGGTCAACTGATCGGTCACTAGCTTTGTCCACAGCAGTAGATGATGATGCTGATGAATAAGATGATCTAGTGGCAGATGATGAAGTCTTGACAACTCCATTAGTACCATTAGCATGAAGGCTGAACCCATTGGTTGGAGGTGCTAGATTTTCTGTCACACAAAAAGATGGATCTCAACACACAAAAAAAGAAAACATTGCTAGAAAAACAAAATTTACTGTCAGCCAGTTTATTATAACAAAGGTAATTGTTTTATATAGGCATTTTTTTAAAAAATCTTTTCCTGGGGAACGACCTTAAGCTGACCCCAATGTATTATTTGGCCTGGCTTACTCCCTTTGATCTCGTTTACCACAAACCAATCTATTGTCTGTTCCTAGACTCAAATGTGATCTCGAACAATCGATGAAACTGACTATAGTCTATATATAAGGCGAGTGGTTGAATGACACAGCAGACTGCAGAGCAGATGCGCAGACGGCGAGAGAGGGTTATTTTGGAACGTGTGGGAGTTTGTTTACAGTAGACTTCATTATTTGTACATTTTTGCACATTGTGTATTATTCGACATTGTACTGGTAGCAGCCACACAATGTACTGTAAGTTAATAGTTTTTATTTATATTTCTTTTTGACTTTTGTACTTTATTATTAAGTTAATAAAACATATTAATTGTAATTAGCCCTTTCCGTGTATCAAATTTCTGTTATTGTTTTTATTTTTTGGCATTGTCTTTTGTTATGCACTGCTTTGGAACGAGCCATACATGTAAATAGGAGATTAATTTCTCCCTACTGATAGCAGTGCGTAACATAATTTTATAATTTACCTTTAACAATGCCATTAGTGCCCAAAACCGAAAGATCAAATCGCCTGGGCCGCAGCTTCTTGTTGACATCAAATAAATAAATCTGCTCTCCACCAAGGTTTACCAAAAGTTCTGAGCCGTCTGGACCAAATGTGAGGTAGGTAGAGGCCAAAGTGCGGTATCGTTTCTTGTAGTCTTGTTGCTTCTGTGGCAAGTGTCCTTGAATGGTACAAATATGGACAAGATAATTTTAGGATGAAAATAATCCCCTACCTAAAACATATACCTACTTTTAGTTACCACATAGATTGTTTCCTTGTTTGATAAACAATATTTCAAATAAACTCTAAGCTAGTTTTAAAGGTAGCAAGACTAATCTCTGAGTTACTGAGTTATTATTGAGAATTGCCTGCTATATAATATTGAGCACATCCAGGGGGCAATGAATAGACCTCTCCTTCAATATCTTCCAGGTGAGGGTGATCCCAAGGATATCTGTCAAACAAATTTAGATAAACAGATGTGAGCATGTGAGCCACTAGATCAGATCACTCATTAATAATAAAAAAATAATTTAGAAATTAAACAGCAGCCCTATAGCTCAATGTAACACATCAGATTCCAGATCAGAAGGTTTTGTTATTAATCAAGTCCATGTTCACCCCCAACTTTTAGCAAAAGAAGCAGTTTTTGCATGCACCTTTGGTTATGATAGGATATACTTCTAACAAACTCATAGCAAGGCAGCTATTCTTGGGAAAGAGGAAACAAAGGGATACAATTTTCGATCATTGAATATAAAAGACAAAAGTCAAATTCATTCACATGGGGTAAAATAATTGGTTCCTACGCTCCCTCCAAACAAAATGCTAAAACAGTTGACCTGCGATAGATGGGGAAACATAAACTTTTCACAATTCTCAGGGACATGATAAACTTTTAATTTTGGCAGTGGGCATGGCATAGGGCACAGGTCTCAATATTATAATTTGGCAGTAATTTTGTCATACTTTGACATGATATGTTGTATAAAACATTTATGTTTTGTGATTTAGGTTGTTAAATAAATAGGATTCAGGCCAAATCTTATCTAAAAAAATTTTTAAAATTATACAAATTTGCTTTACATATCTCTAGGCTTTTATCTTTTTTCTTTAAAAATAAGAGTGCATTCACAATTCCTTTTAAATTACCTGTTAACATTATCTCCAGGTATTTGCATACTGCTGCAACTTAGCATCCGCCTGTCATACACTCTGACATAAGGATCATTGGCTCCTACAGCCAACATTTCAGGTCTGATGGGGTTGATGGCCAGACACTTAGCCTCAGCGTACTGACCCATGTGTGCATTAAGATTTATCAGGATGTTATTCGGGGCTGATGTTGTTGTGCTGGTACAGCGGAGGTCAAACTGCCTGCAATATTGTTGAGAAAAATTAATTCAGGAACTATTTTTAAAATTATAAAGAAGACAGTCTAATGGCTTTTACATCCAAAATATTTAGCACTTATGACCAAAATAGCAATTGGGTAAAAGTTTTTTTTAAATATAAAAAACCTGAGGGGAGTATTTTAACGAACAAAGTTAAACTCTGAAATGGCCGTTTCCAAGCCTGGGTGCAAATGGAGGAGGGCTGACATGAGGCCAGCTACCTCACCCGTAAAAAACAAAGTTCTACAGAAACTTTGGCAAGAGGGAAAAAAAACAATTTCAGCCCTGAGAATAGAGGGGTCCGCTTCACCAAGAAGGGTTATGAAGCCTTCTGGCCTAAGCCGGGTTATACTGGAAGCCTCAAAGCCGAGGAGTCTCCTTTAAAAGGCAATAAGCATAGGCTCATGGAATGTTAGAACCATGAATGAAACAAGAAAATCAGTGCAAGTGGTGTCGGAAATGACTTATTGGAAAGGACATACCAGGAGCCTATTGCTGAAGACATCAAAAGGAAAAAATGGAAAAGATTGAGATGGAAAGGGCACACTCTTCGCAAACCCCAAGATAGCATCATCAGACAATCCCTAACATGGAATCCACAGGGAAAAAGAAAGAGAGGAAGGCCTAAGAATACATGGAAACCAAGCTAGAGGCAGACATACAAAGTATGGGATCCATCTGGAATAAAATGGAACGGAAAGCACATGACAAAATGAATGTACAATTCTTGTAGACGTCCTATGCCCCAGTCAGGTTAAAAGGCATAAATGATGAAATTAAATTAAAAGAACACATGTTATTCTTATGGTAAGGGCATGTCATATGAATGCTAATGTTATAAATGTTGTGAGATTTGCATTTCCAGAGCCTTCTTTAATTTTGCTACAATGTTATGGTAATACAAGCTTTATAAATAAATACCCAATTCAAGGGAATGTTCTAAAAATGTAACTAACAGTAATTTCCCTACAATATATGGATGAGATTATACTATTCTTTTGAATAGTATATACAGGCAATGACTGGTTTAAAATGTTATGTTCTTGAATGAACAGTCATAAATAAAAATAAATAAAAATTAAGGTATTTTAATTAAATTATTTCCAGGCTCCAAAAACATGTATGTGCAAAATGTTTATTATCATTATACTTTAAATTTTTCCTGTCATTGAAAATTGTCTGATGCATTTTCCTTCATGACAGGTGGGTATTTGACATTCATTATGTGAAACTATTTCCTACAAGAACTTACATAATGGTGCCATCTTCAGCAGCACTCCAGAAGATGTATGGTATGTTAGGGGCTGTGGCAATTCGCTTTACTCTCCCAAGGTGATATGTAAAAACATGAGTGGTCTCTTTTCTGTTCAAATCGTGAACATTAATGCGATGATCAGCAGCGCCAGTCACCATCAAAGAGTCATTTGAGTGAGGCAAAAACTGAGAAATGAAAAAGCAATGTTCCAAACCTCACAATTTTTTTAACTGTAACTTTTTTTTTGAGTGAGAAGATTTTTAAATTACATTAATTATAAACGGTAGTAAAACAATGTTACCTTGACTGAAAATATATTGCCCTGATGTCCTGTTCTCACTTTAGAAATGGTCTTGTGTTTGAATGGATCCCAAAGAATAACATGAAGATCATCTGACCCGCTTGCCAATATGCTGTAAAATAATTTTATTTAAAAAAAAAAAAAATAATACCTAAGTACTGCCTAAATTTTTAAGAGTCATGTTTAATTATTAAGTATTTTAATTTCAGAAGATATCAAGAAACACTAATTGCCCATCCCTGTTATGTACCTAAATCACTAAAAATCATCACAGAAATGAGATTGAACTTTGCACAAAAATGTGAGGGATTCTTACAAACCTGCCACTTTCATTCCATTCCAAACAGTTTACACAACCTCCATGACCCTGTTGAAAGCAAGTAAATCATATTGGTGTGAGATAAAATACGATGACATTTAAGTTTCAGAGAAATTCTGAAAATCCTATTGTGCTACAGCTTTGAGCTTCATTTTGTCTCTATATAGACTATTTAAAATTGATCAATCAGCTCCTTCATGCCAAATCATTTCTACCATATTAATAAGAAAGGTTTACCTCAAGTTCCTTCTCAAGCCCTAATCGGTTGACTAGCTCCGCAGTGACTTGTTCATAGCGCTGAAATTTAATTTGAACATCATCCTGCCAAAAGCAATAAAAAGATGTTTAGATAACATTAAATCTTGTGTTATAATAATTCAAAGCTACCTAGCCACCAGAAAAGCAATTAAACTATTGTCAATAGAAATCTAAATTTACTGCGACAGTTGAAAAAATTAATTGAATAATTTTCTCATCATTTTTGTACACACAAAATTATGCTTAAATGGTTAATTAATATACAATGCTATTAGAAATAAAGGTAAATATAGCCAACCTTTATTTCCCTTTCAATTTTCCTTTTGAGCGACCACATGGTGTGTGCCCAGCACCTCCACTTTGATAGTTCTTGATTAAAAGTTCAAAATTTGTTAGGAATATTGTAACAACCCGGTACATAATTTTTTTTTTTAAATGAAGTGTGTAAAATGTGTAAAACTATGGCATGGTTATTAATATAAGAGAGGAATAAATTTGAAATCAAACATTTGAAGGGAGAACTCTTACATGCCATATTTGGGGACCTCTGATTGTGTGCTTTTTTATATAAGAAAATCAGGTCACTCCAGAAGAGCCAACAATATCAGCTAAACACTGTCATAAATTAAAATGATGCTTTGATCAGCTGTTGTAAAAGTATTAAAAGCAAACTAAATGCGTAGGTAGCCCTATATGTCCAGAAAATATTAACAATAATACAGTCAGTAGAGACATCTATGCCTATATAGACTAGTCAATAGAGTCAATTCAATTGAATTTTAGGCCTTAAAATGTTCAACTTTCAGTTCCTTCCTTGTCAGAGTCTTGGTATGTTCTAATACATCAATTTACGCTTTACAGTTCCATCTTAAGTTTCTGGGGATGAGTGAACTCCCCTTAATTAAGTCATGGAGTGTTACTAGAGTTAACTATTCTTTTTATTTTTTATATAAATACACAGATGGAATTTTTTAAATGATGAATTTTTAATTAGTATTTAAAAGTGAGGTTAATTAATACTGGTATTTGAAAAAGAGGTTCTCGTTTTTGCTGGACTGAGACCGTTCATTTGGTAAGTGGACTTTTACTTTATTGATATCTTTTGGATGACATATACGGTGGAGCCTGTAATAAAGTGTTTACAAATGTGTACTCAATGACACTAAGTTGGGTTTTCATTATATTGAATATTTTGAAAATAATTTTAATCTTTTTATTCAATTTTCAGCTTCAGCAATGGATTAAATTAAGTTAACTTGTTAAGGCAAGGATAGGATAAAAAAGCCAAACTCAATGGTAAAAATTTGTCTGAAATGAAGCTGATTTGAAAAATGAGGGGAAGGCTAGTTGCTGTGGGCTGAGTCCTTAATAAATAAAATTCACTCACAGTCAGACCACTTGTCAACTCAATCGCGTGCAATGACCGAGTCTGAGAGAGTGAATTGCTGATGATGTGATTGTGAATATGACGGACAATCTACTAACTAACACACATATTCTGGTGAGGGTCTGAGATTACTCTCTTATGACCCCGGCTAGTAAATTGGCTATCAACTCCATCTGTTGAGCTGAGCCATACAACATTTTCCTCACAAAGGGTCCTCCAACCGCCCTGGCTTCCCCCGGGAGATCTAGTGAGGGACATTCGGTCAACAGGTGCTCTAGACAAGGGGCAGTGCTCGGTGCGCATCTGCGTCACTAAACTCTGCGTTCTGCGTCCTAACCCCCACCATGGGTCTTGTTTGCTAGGAGTGGGCAAGTTTGAATAGACGCCTCTGGCGGTCGTGTTGTCAGCCCATTGCCTGTACCACTTCTGCCTGAAGTGGTCCGCCAGCAAGTTTTTAATTCCCAAGAAAGTCATTGGTACTTCTGGCTGAGGCTGGGCAGCCCCGGTTTTCGCCAGAGTGTCCGCTCTCTACTTGTCACTTATAACTTATAGAAAATGAATAACATTTTTCATTATTTGTTAGGTTATATAAATTAATCATTCGTATCAAGGTGTGAGTTTTGCTACCTGATACTATCAGTGATAGATCAACTCTATGTATTGCTTGCTATTATTGAGTTGTCGTTTCCAAAGTAAGTAGTGATAAAGCTGATTATCACGAAGATACTCACAAAAATACCAACAATATGTTTGTTGTCCTGTACACTTCCGGCTTTCAACTTTTCAATTGTCGTTTGTATAAACAAAAAAAAAACTTTTTTATAATAATGAGTGAAAACATTTAAATGTCTTTAAACAAGATGAAGTTCACAACTTTTAATTGACTTAAACACACAAGGTTCTTTGAATTCATCTTTCCATCTTTATAGTGAACCCAATTTACAAAGTATGTTTTGGGTATTAAGCGTGTCCAATGTCGTAAATATCGGATTTTCTCCTTTCACTTCTATTTCTAGAGTGAGTAAGGAAAATGGCAGCTCCCTGTGATAGGCTTATTTTGCAAAGTGACTGGGAACAAGTGCTTCGGTTAGTCATATATAAGAAATACTGTAATGTCTTGATTATTAACAACTTAAGTGATATAATTTGAAATTAATTGCTCAATTCAGGCTTGCCTTGATTTTCCAGAATAATAATAATAAGGGAAGCGTTATCCACACAGCTCTGCGAATAATGTTGAGCGTTATTGGCAGACCGAAATCTGCGAATAATGCCGAGCGTTATTGTTAGACAGAAATTTTCCCATAATGACGCAAATTTCTAGAAATAATTAGGATCACATTCCAAGCCGGGTTGGGGTATAATTTTAAGTTGTGTAGGATAGATCGATCTTTAATGAGTATGGCAAAAACCCATTTCAAAACCAAAGCTACCGGTATGCACAAGTTGAATTTAAAAAATTTAATAGGCCTAACTATAGCCTATATATTGGATATAGGACAATTAATTGTGCCTACATCTGCTCTGTTAGGGGCCAACATAGGGTCTATTCGACATATTGAGTGTTACTAATATATCCAGTCAAACCTCCTACTCCTAGTAGGCTCCTAGACATAGATAATTTTCTGGTATTTCATATGAAATGTTATACCAGTAATAAAAATGGTACCGGTATTCTTCCTGTAGACTCACTTTCACCCATTGTAGAGATGTCTTTAAATGATGTCAAAGCTTGATAGGATATCGTTTAGTTTTTTTAAAGCACTATGATATATCACGTAGTCCAAAAATGTTCTGTCAGAAATAGTTGACAATGCGTGCAACAGTGTTATGTTTCAGAGAGGTGTCTGCATCAGCCGGCCATGTGAGAGACGGGGAGGGGCATGTAGGCCCTACATCGATAATAACAGAATCTAATCCTGTTTAAGTTTAAGGCTATTATTTTTTCCTCATTCTTGAGGGTGTCCTTAAGTCTACCCAGCTCTGGCCTTAGCTGGGAAAAGTAACGGTGGCTGGTTATAGCGCTGGCCATACACTCAAACTTGTAAACGCTGCTTCAATTGCCCCAATAGAACTTTACTTCCCCAAGACTCGCAATGCATTTTACGACCAGCAGGGTTTCAATTAATTTTTGTATGCTTTTTTTGTATTTAGACCCATAGTTACAACAGTGGCAGTATGGCTTTTTGTTTCAATTATCAACATTTCTTTTTACAAGAGCTAAAATTGTTGATGTCAATGATATTGATATGTTTTAGGTGCTGTACCAGTATGTTCATTTCATTGTCATCACTAAGTGTTATTTCAACTATTTCTGAGGCGGCATATTGTGTCCCTACTTATTATGATACTTATTAGAAAATAAAATGAAACAAATAAAACTTGACATATTTTTTTTAGCTAAACATTAATACACAACTCTGAGATATAAATATTTGAATAAGTAAGTTATTCATATTTATTTTTGTTTATTAGAGAAAAAACAAATGGATGTTAAAGTCTATGAGTGGAATTATACAAAGAAAATTAAACAGTCAAAAGAGCTAAAAGTATATCACAATGTACAGTTAGAACAGCTGTATCTGACTTAAACATGGTTTATGCGGCT